CGCGCCGCCCAGGGGGACGCCAGGCAGTGGCCGCCGCAGACCGGCTCAGACTGCTGTCTGTCTGCAGCGCCCGCCGCAGGTATCGCCGCGCGCCAGCTCGGCTCCAGGAGCCTCCCCAAGCCTGTGTTGCCCTAGCTTGTCCCCTGTTCCCCGTCTCTTCCTTTCACTTCGTTCCTGGCGAGGCAGGCTCTTCATACTGATCGTGTCCAGAAAGGGCTGTCAGATTCTCTAAGGATGCGACCTACTTGTCGCCAGCTTCTAGCTGGGTCCGCGCCAGGACAGGTTTTACTTTCATTTCCTCCGACTGCTGGAGAGGTCAAGGACAGCTGGGCGTCGGCCGGCAGCCAGGGAAGGTCTCGTGATCTGGTCTCGTTCCTTCTAGTCCCCTCCAGCCCTGGGGGGTTCGGTCTCCAAAGATCTCTGCAGCTGTTACCTCATTGCCGCCTCGCTATGTCCTATGCCGGGGAAACTGAGCTCGGGCTCCTGGGCAAGATAGCAAAGAGTGTTCTTGGCTTAAACTTCTTTTGAGCTGCAGCAGCATAAGCAAGGAAAGAAAATCCAGGAGCTCTATCTAGGGCCTGGCCAGCTAGCGGCATCGGGGCTGTGGCAGGAATTCCCACCTGAAAGCCTTGGCAAGGGCCTTATCAGCCTAGGTGCTTTGTCGTTCAACACTTAAGCTCTGTGGCTTGAGATTCACGCCAATTCTTGCTTTAAGTCTGAGATTGGCAGCTCCGAATTTTGCTAGAAAGTGTGTGTGTATGTGTGTGTGTGTTTGCTTTTAGGCGGGTGCAGAAGGGGCAGAGTACCAAAACGTCCTGGGGTTGAAGTCAGAAAAAAATATATACAGAATTTCCCAAATCGAGGCATCTATCTTTTTTTTTGTTGTGAAATCTCGAGGTAACGTACTTTATCACCGTTAAAAACAAACAAAAACAAAATCACTAGAATGCTTTGTTAGTTCAATGCTCCTATCTAGAAGGAAACACCACAGCTGGAATTCTGCTCCTAGTGATTTGTCAACACTGAGTTTCACCCATTCAAGTTGCAGTGACTGTAGATTCACAGCGAGCATGGACAGTACAAGGAAGGAAGGAAGGAAACGAAGGAAGAAACATCTTTAAAATCTCCCTGCAAGTAAAGAGGAAAAAAAAATAAAAAAGAAAAATCCTGATTACTGAAGATGCACTTTTTTTTTGTGCCCAAGAATTTAAAGAGGTCAGATTATAAATAGTTCTCCAAAGCACTATAATAAATGTGTATATCCTGACATCAAAGATACAGACATAAATTCATATAACATATGCTAAAAGCTTGTTGCATAATGCTGCTTCAATTTCTTTGTCACATTCCAATTGAAGTATTTTTAGGCCCTAAATTCAAGCTTTATTCTTAATAATGTCTAGAGTTTTTTTGTTTTGTTTTGTTTTGTTTTTTGTATATATGGTGGTTGTTTTTCAGCTACCATTGTGGACAGTGTTCCTAAAGCAAGAGAGATCACTCTCAAGTCTGTCAGAAACGTAATAAGAGGCAACAAATAATCCTAAAGATATTAATAAGGACAGCTAAACCATTACATAACTAGCACATTGCATTATTGTCTCAGATCCCTTTTAATTTTTTTCCAAACAGGAAATTTTATGCTATGTTTATTATTCATACATCTCAAAAATGCCAGTTAAGTTGAGGGCTCCCTTACAAAGTTCTTTTGAAAACAAGGTTCAAGATGCATCTTGGAGCCACAACGCAAAGTAATTTAGAAAAAGGACACCATGGGCCATAAGGATTTGGTCACTCACTGGGTGAGGTAGAGCCAGGGTAAAAAGCCCAGGGCACTCTTTTAGGTCTGACTTCTCTAAGTAGCTAGTTAAAACAGGTATCTTTTCCAGAAAAATGAACAAGTACATAAAACAATTAAAATAGGAAACCAGGCATAGGATTACAGGTGGTTCACCAAGTTAAAAAACCCTGACACCAAACAAAAAGCTCTGTGTCTGTATTTTTAACTTGTATCTGGTTTGGAGTGGTGGGGCAAGGGGAATAGTTAATCTTTAGGGCATAACATTTTCCGGAGTGTCAGCATAAAGAAAAGTAGTGCTGGGAACCAGCAGTTAGCTTAATGGCTATGTCGCTGGACTCCCACGTAGTCGACCGCGGTTCGCGTCCC